AACATCCCATGCCGGAGTTCCAGTACACCTTAGTCGACGACAGTATCTCTACATCAAAGAGTACCTGGAAGTCTTGTACTTAGGGTGTGAAGATTTACCGGAAGATGCTAATGACCCCACGCAGTCTTGGGAGCAACAAGAGAGATATTTGGAAGAGCAGAGAAAGTCTTTCTTGTCAGGAAATGAAATATCGTTCGCCAGTCTCTTTGACAATCATGATGCTAGAAGACAGCTTGAGAGGGATATCCAAGTTCACGTTCAGCGACTCTTGGATCAAGGCCTATTTCGTCCCATCATCGTGGAAATTCGACATTCGCCAGGCACAGGTGCCACTACTATTGCCCGTCGTGTTCTTTGGGATCTGCATAGTGCATACCCATGCCTGGTAACTGATGTTGACTCCCATCGCTCCTCAGATGAAGACAACGACATTGCAAGGAAGCTAGCGGAACGAATATCCTCGATCGAAGAGATTTGCAACACCCCCCCGTTGATTCTCATCGATGGAAAACAATCTGGCTCCATAGAAGGCCTCTCGAACAAGCTTTCACGAATACTTCAAAGTAAAGGAAAAAGAGCCCTCTTATTACGGTGTATTAGAGGAATGAAAGAATCAAAGAAAGCACAGGAGTCTTGCCATGTTCATAAAGTTTTTCATGTCAATGTCAAACTGGAGGAATCTGTCACTGATCTGCATGAATTCAAGTCCAAGTACAAGGAGTACCTAGACTCAGTCGATAAATCACTGAACACTAGGCAGATTTTGTCTGGCTTATGTCGTGTTTTCCATTTTCCTCTCCTGGCCATGATGCAGGAATTCCGTCCTAAACTAGAGAAGATCATCGAAGACACCTTCAATGAACTGAGAGGAACTCAACAAGAGATTGCCGCAGTTGTGGCCTTCTTGCAAAAGTATGCTAATCTTCCAACTCCGGCCATTCTCCTACACGAAGCTTTCAAACAGTTTATTCGCCATCAAGATGAGAACGCTGCCACTTATGATGATATCAAGCAGTTGTTTTCAGATTACCTGATGAATCTAATGATACCTGCGAAACCAACACCATCTGGAAAAGAAAATCCACCAGAAAGCTATACATTCCAGCACCCATTAGTCGCAGACCTAATCCTTAAGAGAGTGTATCAAGAGCAGAAACGCGACCTTTTTGAGATAGTGGACCGATTTCTTCAATTTCCTATATATCAGCAGGAAACTCTTCTGCCCCTTTTAAATGAACTTTTCATCTACAACAAGGTCAGGCAAGGTCAAACGGAGAAGCTCAAGTTTTCTCTTCTGTTCGAAGAATTGAAGAGTACAGATTCAGATCGAGCTGCAGATATCTTTTGTAAAGCTGCAGAGAAGATAAATCAGCCTGTGATGTATGCGAATGCAGCACGATTTTGCGCCAGAAAGGATCCTCCATCATTTCCAAAAGCAAAAGAACTCATTCAGCGTGCTTTGAAGGTCCATGATTGCGCAGCATCTAAAGCTGGATACAAGAACTTGTGCCATACTAAAGGCGTCGTTCTCCATTTTGAACTCAAGCACAAGATCAATTTTGGCGAGGTCCAGAATCTTGAAGAATTGGAAGAAATGGCAAGCAAAGTTCTTGAGGCACATCGAGAAGCACGCAATTTTCCTCCAACCTACCCCCATCCTCTTATTGGTGAAGTTGAGGTGTGGCTTGAGTGCATAACATGGATTATGAAGAACATGTGCGATAATGACGCTCAAGAGACCTTGATTTTTGTGACAACTTTGTCTCCTCCTTTCTTTCGGACGTGTTTGAGTGACTCTTTCCATCTTTTAGACGTTGTTGATGGTATTGTCCAAAGCGTGTCCCAACTTGCTGATCCCGAAGAGACGAAAAGGTTATCTAGCAATTTGAGGTTATCCCTCATGAAAACTTTTCGCTCAAGATCTTATCTTCTTGGTAGACCGAAAGCCGACGAAGATATTGTTCAAGCTTGTAAAGCAATTTGCACCACGAAGAATTTCCGCGAGTCGTCACAGTTGGAGCTTAAACGACTTCAGGCCCACTTCCTTTTGACACACAGCGAGGCAGTCGACAGTTTCAAACAAGAAAATCTTGAATTCCTGCTGAAACTCCTGGAAGACCTGGTTCTTAAAGAAAACGAGTATAGCCTTGCTCATCATTTGATAAAAGTGTGTATGCTAGTGACAGGAACAAAATGCTACACTCTCCAGCAGGGTCTCCATGTCTGTGACAAGTGGTTGTCCATGGCAAGTCATGACTGCCTCCCATCCTTTTACCAGATGGTTATCTGTTTCCTACAGATTTTGGATGGGAATACTCTGGATTTTATGCCGAAATATATCCAAGCCTTGCAGAAGTGCCGAGAGAAATCTCAAAACCATTTGAAGAAATTTTATGCAACACTCTATGTGGGCAAGGAGGGACATGGTATGTCTCGCTTTATCAGCCGCAATGCATTGCTACGTGGAGATAAAAACTACTTTCCTCCTGACAACTTTGAAAAAGTTTCTAAATTTTGGCAGGTAGAAAGTAGAATGAAACTGAAAGAGTGTAAAGGAAGAATCAGAGAGAAGGAATCTAGCCGTGGAAAGTCACATCTTTGCATCGAGCTAGTGCAAGGTAATCTTGAATTGTATGTGGGCAAGAACGCAGACATCGGCAAGGTGCAGATGGATTTTACACCAGGAGCTTTGGTGTATTTTGTTGTCAGTTTCAATCTCCAGGGTCCTGTTGCGAACGGCATAACATTTTCGCCACAGGATTCATCAAACGAGTCTTAAAAAAGACAGTCAACGTCTCGTGAAAACGAATCTCGGGAACATTGATGAACACTTTACAGTCGGATTCTGTTAAAGACTTTGGTTGCCCCCTGAGGCCGAGGCAGAGCAATGCTGATGATATTTTCCATCACTTTTCTAATAATATGTTATATTAAAATACAGTAAAAACGTTCTCTGGTCAAAGGTTTTAGAAAACATATGCTTTCGGTTGTCGATCCACAGCCTTCCCCGGATAAAACATGAAATGTATAAAATATATACAAAAAGCGAGATAAAGGCGATAAGAAGAACAAAGTAAAAATGTGGAGAGGGTGGCTATTGTTTAAAAAGAATGCTATACTGATCAGGGATCGGCTTAGAGTTGATTGTCCGCATTCTTGATAGCAGAGGTGTGCCAATCCCCTAGAGTTTTTCTAATACGAAAAGAGCCTTTGTCGATAACTCGAGAATGATTGAAATCAATGCGATGATCAAATGGCCACGCATGTTTCGCAATGTTTGACCCATTAGCACTTCCTTTTATTTATGGTGTTATGCAACCGCTAACAAGGATTCTTCGAAAGCACGATATTCGAGTTGTAAATAAACCCTTTAAGACTTTGCAACAAGAATTCCGTTCCCCTAAACTCAGACCACCTATTGAACACCAACCAAATGTAGTTTATGAAATACCCTGTGCCGATTGTGACTGGTGTTATGTAGGTGAAAACGGCTGTTGCTTTGAAACACGCAAGAAAGAACACATGCATGTAAAGACATGTGCTAATGGGTCAAACACTGCGAAACATGCGTGGTCATTTGATCATCGCATTGATTTCAATCATTCTCGAGTTATCGACAAAGGCTCTTTTCGTATTAGAAAAACTCTGAAGGCTTGGCACACCTCTTCTATCAAGAATGCGGACAATAGCTCTAAGCCTATCCCTAATCAGTATAGCATTCTTTTTAAACAATAGCCACCCTTTCCATATTTTTACTTTGTTCTTCTTATCACCTTTATCTCACTTTTTGTATATATTTTACTAATTTACATTTCATGTTTTATCCGTGAAAGGCAGTAGATCGACGGCCGAAAGCTTATGTTTTCTAAAACTTTTGGCCAGAGAACGTTTTTTACTATAGTTTAATGTCTCATCCTGGCTGTGCCTCAATTTTCAAATTTATGTTATATCCAACACTTTTTATTATAACGTATATCTTAAAAAGCGTCTCAATCAAATTACGAAACAAATTGTGTCGGTGATCGACATGCAATGTGTTTTTGTTGTTGTGTGAAAATAAAATTCAGGGGAAAACTCTGCAAAGTCTGTGTACGTCTAAGCGCACCGCATATGGTTATCGAATTCGCTTTGTAAGAGGCCTTTAGATGAATTTTTTTTTTAACATTTACTGAAATCGCTGTAACGCTGGTATGATTAAAGAATTCGTTGGATTGATTCCTAGGCTACTTTTAATAGCCTGATTATTTCTTTGCATCAGACAAAGAGGGAAAAACGTCTTTACAAGTAAAAATTTGTTTATTCATTGTCATTCAAAAGTTGTAAACAAAGGAAGCCCCGTTGAAAAGACTTGGCCTCGAAATTTTGGAAATATAGCTTATCACTGTACTTTTTCAGACATAATAAATCAGAGGACTACAGACACCGACAAAGTAAAAAAAAATAATAAGGAATTTACATATAGATATATATTAGATTGGGAACTACGTCGCTTATGACTATTCAGTCATTTGTTTCCCTTATCCCGGTAGTGTATAATTTTGAAGATAGAAAAAAAAAAAAAAAAAAAAATAATAGCAAAAATGAAGAATCGAGCTAGTAATAAGAGAAAAACTACAAGACATTTTGTAGATCACAGTTTTTAATGAAACAAATTTCAAGCTAGATTATGCATGAGTAGTTTTTATGTTCTTTAAGCCAAAATATTTGTTACAATAAAGTTAATTCTTTTATTCCTGAAATGATCTCACTACTTTTGACCGTTTGTTCAGCTATTGACATCCAATTCGAAGGGAAAAGATTTTAACTAGAACACTAAACAAAGTCGCCCAGTGCCATGGAAAGGAGGAATCATTTGGCCACAAACGAACCTTGCTGACAGAAGAATACGTATTCAGTGTTGATAACAAATGGTTACCTCGTTTAGCAATCATTTCTTGCATTACAGAGCCCGCGCGTACGTCAGTGGATTCATCCATTAAACAACAAAATGGCTGCCAAATCATCCCGCACATGTAAGGTTGGATCTTCTATCTAGATCTTGAATGCCGACCTTTCGTACTTAGAAGGTGAATACAACAGGCTGTTAGAAAGTAGTGCATACTTCCTACACCTGTATGTCATGGATGGGTATGTGTTCCCAAGATAGCTTGCATCAATTAAGACAGTATGATGTCGAGATAGAGTTCGTGATCATGGTGATCAAGGCGAACTTTGAAATTATGGATAACATACATATAATGTAATCGTTTCAAGATAAGTTCAATAAGACGCACTGCTATCGGATGGTGACTGATTTGACAATTAATGTTAAGGGTAAGCTAAGGGCCTGTGAGTATAGGGATCGATGATTTTTCGTAGGAATTTACAGCGGGTATGTTCGATTCGAGGTACAATTTGAAATAAGGTTTGTTTTACTTTTAAGGGGGTATTTTCTCACGAGTTTTAGTTGGAATTAGAATGTGAAGCAGTGTGACAAATCCTTGTACTTTTTCATCAAACCAGTACTGCATTCTGTGGTGTTCTTGCCCTCAAGAAGTTCTTATTACTTTTTTACTGTTTGTGAATATATGAAAATCAGATATGTGAACTGTGGTAAAAGAAATGGATAAGAGGTGATCTTTGCAGTAATAAACAATACGTAAGGTTACTTCCCACCTTTGTGAGTGACCTTCAGGAAAAAATTTGTACGTGTGCTAGTTTCAAGAAAATCCTAACAAACTATACATCAAAAGAAAGCTTAACAAATGCAGTTTACGATAAAAATATAATTTAGGGGGCGTTTACAAAACCTGGACCGGATTGGATTAGATCAGATTGACAAAAGCTGGACTGGATCGGACCAGATTAACAAAACCTGGATCGGATTGTGTCCAATTGACAAAACCCAGACTAGATCAAAAAAGAATCGGAATACAGTAACTTGTAGAATTTCAAACAAATTCAATCAATTTTAGCGTAAGAACGTACCTCATATTGGAGCTATCCGCTAGTAAACGTGAAAAACATTCAAAAGTCTATACAAGTTCTGCAACCTTAAGAGAAACATGTCAAACATGGCGACTGTTTTTCTTGTCATGCACAGTGTGAACGCTAAGCCTCACAGGAGTTATGGGTGATGATGTTTAAGTTTTCGATCAGAGGTAACGACATCTGCTAAGCAAGTGCCGGTCAACTGAGGCTGCTACGATTTGACCGTAATTGATTGTAGTTATAAATGAATATCCACAGACATTCTCAAGCTCACAATACAAAATGTATAGTTGTTTTATTACAAGGGGACGTGACCGTGACGGGAAAGTGGTGTTGTGTTACAATGCAATTGACGTATTGTGACAGTGTTGCGAAAAGCGATGTTACATTACAGTGTTAACCGTCGATTTTGAGCGCTCTATGAAACAGTGTATGGAGTCCGTAATAGCGTGCTATCAAAACATTCATTATGATAATGATAATCTTTAATAATTGCTGAAGGCTTTTCGGAAACTATTTACAATGATGGGTCAGTAATTTACAATAATGTTTAAATAAATTTTAAAGAAGTATGTACAGTGTGCAAGGCTACAAATGTATTTCTTATGGCATAATTATGTATAAAGGCTGATAGTTTCTAAAGAAACTGTTTGGAGCAGCGTCGGTGGGGGTAACAAAATAATTTGAATATATCAACAAAGTTGAAATGGTAAATTGGCCACCATTACGATTATAAAAGCTGACGTTTCGAGCGTTAGCCCTTCGTCAGAGTGAATAGAGGAATTGTGGGTTGTATGTGCTTTTAAAGGCAGAAAATCATGTAGCTCCTTTTTCTGCCTTTAAAAGCACACACAACCCACAATTCCTCTATTCACTCCGACGAAGGGCTAACGCTCGAAACGTCAGCTTTTATAATCCTAACGGTGGCCAATTTACCATTTCAACTTTGTTGATATATTCAAATTATAATTATGTATAGTTTGCAAAATAATATAGTATGTGAACTTACCTTGTCTGTTTTTTTCAGTTCTTTATGCCTGTTTAGGTGAAACAACTATACCTTTAGTGTAGTGAGCTGGGGGTGCCTGTGGAATATCTTATACAAAAAAGAACCATTACAACTTTGCATCACTGAGCTGCGAAAAAAGGCGGTCATATTTCTAAAACTTGAGATTTTACCTGATTATTTTGGTGGGAAATTTATGGTGATCCGATTTTGTCGGATCCAGTCTGGGTTTTGTCAGTTTGATGCAATCTGATCCAGGTGTTGTTAATCTGGTCCGATCCGGTCCAGGTTTTGTCAATCCGATCCGATCTGATCCAGTTGGTTTTGTAAATGCCCTAATTTAGGCAATTTTTTCATTTAGGGAGTATCAGGAGCTGGTATGGTGTGAAACAACCTAGGGTTGTTCTATTGAATTTGTCGGGTATCAGATCACGCAGCACAAGCAGAATGGCTGTACAGTCTTATTCACAAGGCATCAATCAACAAAAGTGTGCCTGGCTTTTTCAATATTCTTATTGGTTGTCTAGATATCTGCATATAAAGTTAGAGTAGCATAAAATATGTGAAATGTGTTGTGTAAATGGACACAATGTGAAAAATGTTTTAAATATCAAAATTTCCTGACACACTTTGGTTTGTAATTATCCCTGGTATGTTTTGGTGAAATTTCACGAAAATTGGTCAAATCTACATACCCTATAAATTCACTCAGAGTGTATTCCTCTGAAAATCAAATGAGAGATTTTACCTCCTAAAGGTTTGTGGGCAACTAGCATTACACCAAGAGATTATCTTTCCTCCTGAAACTGCAAACCAATGGGAAAATGGGACCTGGCATCAATGACAATGCATCAAGATTTTCCTGGGAAAAGTATTGCATAGCAGTCACATTTTTTATCTTGCTCTGTTGAAGGTTGAGCAATGGGCAAAAATTGGCAAAGAAAAAACCTGCTGCAAGAAAGGTAAAGCTGGAGAAACTGCTGAAAAGCAAAACAATGAATTGACAGACAGCTCAAGTAATACGCTTATCACTGAAATGAGTTCCCTCGGGTAGGTTTATTCACGATTTCATATGATTCAAGGTGATTGCTTATGTTTTGTATCAAGGCCAGTACTTGCTTATTTGAAGGAAACTTCATTTTTAACCTTATGTATGACAAATGTAGCTTTGATGGCAACTTCATTGTGCATAGTTTGGATGCCAGCGAGGAGAGGAGTGCTGGGACTGTTTTCTTTCTTCGACAAAGTGGTGCCATTTCTCTCTTCTTTGGGCCTGTTTTTTTCTTTTTCTTTGCCAAGGACTCCTCTCTAATTTTGATTTCTGTTTTTTATCCATGAGAAAATATTTTCCACTAGCAGAGAACTTTCATCTGTGAATTTTGTCAAGTGCCTAATGTAAACAAAATATGCAAATAACATGAAATTGCCATAAATATTCTCTCAGCGGGCTCGCCCATTTATGAGATTATGACACCCTCCTGTTTCTTTCTTTATGAAAATACATTTTCCTAAATAAGTCAGTCACTTTTTGAGATTTCAAATTTTTCTTTTTGTAAATGTTGGGTAAAATGTCTGTCTTAAATTTAGTTCAATAAAAGAAAAAATGATTTTCCAGCCACTGAAGGTGGAAAGTAGGGTTAAATAGTAATGAAAATAAGACCTGAAAAAATTTTAGGCCTTTACATACTGAGCTAACAAGCCACCTGGGAGCTGGTCATGGTTCATAAGAAACCTGTGAAGTGATGACTCAATGTTTGTGAATATATGAAAATCACCAGCGAAAATTACTTCAGTGGTTTATATCAAACCAACATAATGACCAGCTCCCAGCTGGCTCATTATTGCAAAGATCACTCTCTTACTCACTTTTTTACTTGTAGTCATTTTGTACCTAATTTAACTTTTGGTGCTCTGTTGGTAAAATTCTTGGCGAAAGAAAGTTCCAAATGCCTTTTTAGTTGAGCAGAAAAACTTTCCAATACCATTACATTTTAGTAATTAATTATTATTACCATAATTTCCGGCCAAACAGTACTTCACAGTGTAAGTCTTAGTATGCCTGAAATAAACTTCAATCCCGATAACCCACTGAAAACATGGACACCTTTGTGGTGTGTGCACTCAGCCACCACATATTTGCTTCCCCTTTACTCACAACCATTCTATGGAAGAAAATAAGCACATAATTTTATAATTTTGCGACTACAAAATAATTACTCATGAAATGTTTTATCTTGGAAGCTACTGAGAGAGGTTGTCTTTCAACATCTTTTTTTTGTAGCATTATATATGATTTGTATGATCAAGTTGTTGTTTTAATTCAAACTGCTCTGACTAGTTAAATGTTGTAAATAATATATTTTTTACAAACAGTGTTTATTCTTGATTATTTCAGATATGTATGTGATGGGTTGCCAATCCAGAGAAGCTTTGAAGGAGTTGTTCTGACAAAATGCATAGTCATTGTAAGATGTTGGATTTAAATTTAATTTCTAACTTAAAAATGTACTGGTGGAATGAAAATAAATTGAGTTGCAAAATTATTTGTTTAGTGGGTAGATGACATGGCAGATGCTGGTACTTATCAATACACTCTTAATTTTTAGAAGCAACAGTTACAAAAAAAGATGATAAACTAAATGTGTATGTGGTTTTTTCTGTGTGATAAAAACAAGTCATTTAACAATTATTTGTCAAGAGAAAAGTGAATGTCTTGTGGGATAATGTCTTCCAGTGTAGACCCTAGCTAGGGTTCAGAGGTTAACTTACTGTCATTCAAGTGATGACTTTGCAGCACTAATGGAACTGCTGGTGTCATGGTATATCTTGCAGACCTCAGGGTCAGACAGGGTGGTGAATAAGATTGACTTTACATCCTGTGAACTGGAATATGTTCTTGATGTTAGTGCCCTCAGATCCACATACAATTTCTGTTTCACAGTGTTTCCAACTTTACTCACAAGTGAAACAACAGTTCTTAGCTGTTTAGGCTCCTCTTCTGTATCTATAAGTTTCTGATCTTTAGAATCTCATTTTCATTCAAAAAAGTTCATCCTATTAGCATAAGGCTTATGTTAGTTTTGCTTCAGGATAATTTTTCATTTTAAATTATTTCTAAAGTAGAATGTGGACCATTAAGGATTGTATTATCTGTCATCTTTTCATTAAAAATAAGTTGTAGTCTGGAGATCAAATTGAATACATCAAACAAACTGTATAGGATTTTACTATTAGTCATACACTTGGGACTATGCAATTTTCAGCTCAGCATAGTTTGTGCATAAGATAAATCTGTCAAATTTAAAATGGACAAGCAGTTGATGCTCTTGTAGGCAGACGCCCTTGGGAATTAGAAAAAGTGCCCATTCATAGAACTGTCCACCTATGCAAAATTCTTCCAATAATTGGACACCAAAGCAAATTGGGTGGATGTCTACTTATGTGAGAGTATTTTGTTGGACCGCTCTAATTCAGCTGGTTCTGTCTGACATTGGGAAAGAGTGAAAATTTTGATCCGTTGAGCTAGAGATCAGTGAGTCAAAAATATTAACACGCATCTAAAAATGAATCAAAACCTCTAGAATTTAGGGGTATTGTGAGAAAATAATTATTAGAAACTAACCTTTGATCTGTTTGTAATAATACTTGCTTTGACATTTAACAAAACCCACTCAAAGGTGGAAAGCATTGTTAGTGGTCACATGACAATGAGATCAAGGTTTGGTATCCCCAGGAATATCCCCGAGAACAGCCAATCTTGAGCCAAGGGTCGTCTTGGCTACATGTCAGCAGTATGATTATCCGTCATTATCACATGACCATGCTGCTGACAAGGAGCCAAAATGACCCTGTGGCCCATTTCTCAAAAGCCCTGGTAACTTAATGGCCTATAACGCTGTTCTGTTTTCATTCAAGATGGGGATTTCAAAAGTTTCAATAAACTATCAGTTAAAGAAACAAAAAGGACTAGTTTGGGTGCTAGAACCTGCTTTCCTATCCTTTAAATTTTGATTTTTTTAAAACATGCCTTCAGGCCCATTAAGTTACAGGGACTTTTGAGAAAGAGGCCCCTGGGCTCAAGATTGGCTGCGAGATGGAGTACAAGATGAGGCCTGAGGAAATGGACTTGTGCCCAGGACCTTGGAAACCTTTGGGCCATTTGGGCGAGACATCGACACTACCTGTTTCTACCAGACAAAGCTGAATAACGTATGCGCGTGCGCTAGGTTTTGCTGTGGAAAACGGACTTTTGAGTAGTTTGCAGGGTTGATTTCCTATTCTGTTGGTTTAAGGCGACGTTTTCTTTGCCGCTTTTCTTTTACTGAACAACCTCCAAAAACTTGGTACACCCCTAAAACAATTTTTGACAATTAACTTTCTCCTTAAAACCTCTGGAAATGGGAAAATACTTTGACGAAATCAAAGTTCCTCGTTTTAAATTTCGCTAAATTTTAAACCTAGAACACTTGAGCCCGCGTTGATGACCGCATACCCTCTGACGTAGCATTTCATATGTTTTGCTTTGTTCGAGAGATTGAAGTTTTCTTCTGAGACTTGTGACATGAAAACACTCTCTTCCCTCAAGTTCAGGGACATGAATAACGCCTACGCCAACTTCAGCGTTTGAGTTAAGGTTTAAGGTTTAAGGATTGTCTGAAGGAATTTGTGGGTTGATAGTTGGTGCAGAGGAGCAAAATTTAACCGCTTGTGCCTCTCCTTGAAAACGAAAGTGCAATGCAGAAGAACCATATGGCTAACTCATCCACGAATTTTATGGTTTAACAGCTCTTTGATTCGTTAGTGTATGGATTTTTGCTGATTTTTATTTGCTGCAATCACTGTGTCTTTCCTGCCATAAGGTAAGTATTTATCGCCTTACCTGTTGAAGATTTTGTTTGTGTTCGTCTCAATGTAGTCATTATTAAAAATTTTCTCGAACGCCATGAATGCCAGAGTAGCTATACATTGGGTACCAGAGATTTTGTCAATGAAAAAAAAAAAATATAAAAAAGCGTTCCAGACCCTTAAAAAAATATTGGCCTTGGGGAAAAAAGAAGCAAACAAACAAACGAACAAACAAAAAAAGGAAGTACTTCTGATATGAAATATTAATATCATCTTTTTTTAAAAAAAATGTAATACTTTCAAAACTCAAACGAATTTAAGCATTTTAAAAAGAAATTATGTTCAAAAACTTTAAAAGTATCTTTTAAATATTTTCTTGATAGGAAAAATGCAGTAATTTTAAAATCAGCTGACTACAAAAGTTGAATTTTCTTAAATAATCAAGAAAATTCCTTATGCCAGTTCTAGGCCACCATACTTTAGAATACTCTGCTTGGAAAAGAATGGATGTCAAGGTCTTTAAGGTGACAGAATAAGCTCTCGAGTCAACGACACCACGGTTGTCTAAGGCGATATAAAATATGGACGTAAAGTGAAAACCGAACTTTCGGACTTCAAGCGGGGCCTAGCGACAATTTGACGATTCGATGACCCGGTAAATATTATGTTCAATTAACAATGTGTTCGAAAAGTATTGTTTAATAGAAGATTTTGCGTCAAATTGAAGTTTTTTCAGAATTTTCAACGTAACGCTGCGCAATTTCTGGCCTTGAAGGCAAGTAAACAACGATCTAAGCATGATGAATTTTACCGCGTGAGCTTTGTGCACTTAAGAAATTCGTACGTTTGTCGCTTATAACAGCAAATCAAAAACTGTTTTGAATAAATCTGTCGTCCCGAAATATTTCTTGGCCATTTTAGTCTTGCTTCCTATTGATAAGTTCTTTAATTAGTCTTTCGCTGGAGCTTGTTTTTTAGAAAAGATATTTTTAAAAATTTACTGCGCATTGTGTTTGCTTTCTTGGTTTCTC